TGAGAGAAAGAAAAAAAGCACAGGGGAAAAAAATCTACTCTTACAGTAAATTTATACAGTAACTTTTCTAGAAAGGAAAACTTCTGCTTGAAGTGTTGTCACATGGATGTTGATAAGATGCCCATGGAGTCAGTTAATGCTCTGGGAGTGCTCATCAGCCATCTGTTCAGTGACTTCCAAGCATCTAGGAAAGAGGAAGGTCTGTTCAGTGTTCAAGACAGCTTTGCTCAGGAAGCCATATGCAACAAGGATATTAAAGACAAAAAAAAAAAGAAACCTCCCAAGAAGCCCAGTGAAAGCTACTGGGCTTTCACCCATTAAAAGTGAAAGTGTGACAAGTGATGTGGAGGGATTTTGACTTACCCTGAACGTTGCTTTAGATTAAAAGGCTTTGTGTTTGATGATGTTGAGTTCCTCCCTGCAGCACACACCATCACTGCAGAAATCAAACTGTTCCCAGTTTAATTATCCGTTCACATCTGCCACAGAGGTGAACATCATTAAAAGTCCTGTGACTTAGAATAGCCATGTTAGTTACTTATGATTCTACAAGGTGTGAAGAACTTTTCCAGGAAAAGTGAGAATAATGAATGCGGAAATGAAGCAAAAATCATCCCCAGGGGAGCAGACTAATAACCAAGGGCTGGTTTTGTATTACTGACATTACGGAATTTGCCAAATTCATGATTTTTACTGGAGAAAAAAAAAAAAAAAAACAACTGAAAAGGAAACAGATCAGAACTCTGTCTTGTAAGTGCTCTAAGTTCTGCCAGATAAGCTGCTTTTAGAAAACTAAATTTTCAACAATAAATTCTTGTGGAAGTGTAAGGCACATAATATCTATAAGAATATTTTACTACAAAAGCATACTTAACCTTGGATATAAGGAGTAGATACAATGAGTATGATGTGATTTGTCTTTTGTTACAGGACATCTTCATCAAAAAGGAGAAGTACAGTTAACTGAAGCTGGAATTTGCCTTGATCTGAAAAAAAAAAGGAAAAAAAAGTTTTTTCTTCCTAATATATTTGAATCCAAAATCTGTTTTCAGTTCATGGTGTTTTTTAGTTAAGTTACAACATAGAAACCATCACAGCTCTGATTTCCAGGGAAGAGCAGTTTGGAAGGTGGTAAATACAATTTAAAAAGCAATCCCAGAAGGAATTTTTATAGCACTGCTTTATGAGAAAATGTAATTCTCATTTTTAGAAAGCGTGATTGTCACCGTACCTCAGCTTATTTTTGTGAAATTAAATAATTAAAATGTTCATATGTGTTGGCCACCAGCTACTGTACCTTATTATAGTTTAAACAGCCAACCTTGAATAACAAATCATTATATTCACAAAACTAATTGTGCAGAAGTATATGAGGTCATGTATTTTTATTGTTGCATGCTTACATGTATTCTCCTGCTAGCACCTGGCTGAATGGTGATGGTTGCTCTTTAATAAAAGCCAGAAGCTCCACTCTCCTTTCTGAAATTGGTGCAGATTGGCTGTGGATTCTAGTACAAGGGGTGCTAATAAAAAAGGTACAGAATCTTCAAAATAGGAGCTACAGCTTGTGGTGAGGTTACTGTGAGAAGGGGTGGCTGTCAGGCACATGGGTGAGCCAAAAGCCACTCATGGTAACAGACTGCATGAAGTATTTTTAGGTGGATCTAAGCTGACTTTTATTATTTCAAATTTTAAATATGTATGTGGACATGGAGGTGAGGAGTGTTTATATGTAAATGTATATAATATTCAGCTACTCAAGTTTTTATGAAGACATTGCAAGTTGGACAGCAGGGGGGCTGGAAGTTTGGGGAGGGAGAAGCAGAAATATGGAGATGGAATGAGGTTGTAAGAGCTTATCCAGTATATGTTTCTAGTTAGATGTGAGTTGATCAGAAGGTTGGACAGCATTTTATTGTACTAGTAGTCACAAGAAAGCTGCATTTCTTGGAGAACAAATTTCAGCACTGTTGATAAATCAGTATCTGTATAGGAACTGATGCCAGACTGCTGGCAGCTGTCATTCAGGTGGCATCTCACTGTCCCTGGTGGGGAATGCTCATACAGCATGTGAAGAGCACCAGAAAGTCAAGGGAAAATGTGGTGTGAAGTGAGGTCCAACTAAATAAAAATCCACTTCTGCTCATTGCCTGCTGTGGATGTGGCTGCAGACAGCCAGCACTGTAGAGTGGACACTGAATATGCATTAAGGTATATTCTTCAGGTGAGAGTTTTAAGCCTCTACATGTAGAGGATTTGTTCCTGTATTGATGCGGAGTACTATTTAAAAGTGAAAATTAGAAGGAGGGGTGCAGCACACCCAAGAAAATGCATTTTGCTTTTATGTCTCTTCATGTGAAGTTCCTTTTACACTTGGAGTGTGCTACATATGCAGTATTCTCTTGAATTGTTGAATTTGCAGGATTTGTTGCATGTGTTTAAATATCAGTGATAATTCTATATGTTTGGTGCACAACAATTATCCATGATCAGTCTCATTTTGAATAATTGATAATGCCATATATTCTTTAAAACTCAGTTTTACTTAGGTGGGGAAATGGTTGTTTAGTTCAGCTGTGGGTGTAGATCTTATGTGAGACAGCATTAAAATTATCAAGAAATATGTAAAAGATGTAAAGTTTGCTTAATGGAACTAGGCCTTCACTGCTTTAGCCTAGCACTTAGTCTTTGACAGAGGTGAGAGATTATCTCATCTTACATGACCTCAAGGTGTAACAGATGAAATTAAATCAGAAGAATGGATTTACTATTAGTCCCAAGGTTTGTTACCTTTAGAGATTGTTGCTTCTGTAGCATCCTTCTGTACACATATGGATCTCCAAATTTTTTTTGTTGTTTTTAATTTTCCTTTGGATTTTTTACTTCTCTGGCATCCTATATCTGTTAGTTTTCTTAACATAATTTCATGCCGTGTGAATAAATATTGCCTTCTCTTTTTTTTGAGTGTAGATGTTGTCATTTGTATGTTGCAGTCTGTGCCCATAACCTCCAAGCTAAATATAATAAGTTAATATTCTCTTTGTTTGAGCAAATAATTGATTTTTTTTAATTGAGGGGATTTTTGAAAAAATCTTGATGTATGTCCATGTTTATTTGATTTTTAAATGCTTATTATATTTTTAATTGATAGTAATTTTTTTATGATACCTCCAGCATAACTTATTTTTAGGTGGAGATAGTAAATAAATAGGGGAAAAAAACCTTTCAGTTTAATCAGGAGTAATTTTTGATGACAGGAAATTATGAGAGGTGCACCAGTATCAATGAGTAAGGAGTGTTACCTCTACCAGTATTTTCTGAACAACAAATCAGGGTAGTAAGTTGATTAGAGAAAGTTTCTAGTCTTATCTTTAGCTCAGAGCAGAAAATTACTTTTTAGCTTTCACAATTATTAGCAGTACAGAAACACAGTGAGTAATAAAAAGGTAAGCATCTGTCATCCAGTAAGTTATTTAATAGATTTTCTGCTACAGATTCTTTAATACTGGAAGTGATGTACAAGCCAGATCTATCAAGGATGCCTGTTATCTCAGCTTGAGTTTGCAGATGGAAAGAAATCTGTCCACTTGTTAATAAAGCAGTTTTTATCCAGGCACTGTAGAGTCAGTAAACATAAACCTTTCCAGGATTACTTTTTCTAATACACTTTTTTTTTAAAAAAAGCACTATCAGCTCACACATCAGCATTACTGAATAGCCAGTGTTTCACTACAAATGGCTCAAGTGCTTTTACACTGCAAGATATTTCAGTTGAAATTAATTAGGTGTCAGGGCAGAAAAGAATACCTCATTATCACAGAATTCTAGAAACCTTAAATAAATGTGCAAATATAATTCCTGTTGTGATTTGTCTATAGAAAGATACTATCCCAGTGCTTTCATAATTTAAATTTTCTTTTTAGACTCACTTTAGGAAAAGAAATAATGAAGTCAGTACTACTCTTTCAGCTGAATTCATTTTTTTGAATGAAAGAGCAGCTCTCCTAGTAGATATCTCATTTAAAGCCCCATTTCTGTTTCTGGCAAAGGAAATGAACACTCTTTGTTATTAGCTTTTAATCTTACCTAGCAAGGTCCACAGACTTTCTTTACTTGCTATTAAACAGAGAATGAGTTTATCAGTGGAAGCTGTGTTGAAAGTTGGTATTTTAAAAATGTGGCCCAGTACTCTTTGTAAGGCTTCTTTTTATTTGATAGTTTGCAAAGGTTTTTAACATTGTACTGCATAAAATCGGAACAGTGTTTACAATGAGTGTTTCAAATTATTTCCTTTTATGAAAAAGACATATCTGGAGTTTTAAACATTTGTAAGCTACAAGAGTTGAAATCTAGGAAAGTCACTGAAGCAAGTTATCAATCAGTCAAAAGCTAAGGAAAAGGAGATAACTCATGTATGACTTCTTGCTAAGACTGAAAACCAGGACAGTATCAAAATAAGCAGTCCTCTCTAGACTTGGCCACCTTATCTAGACTGATGAAACAGGTATTTTTCTTCAGGCTTTTCTTCTAAAAAAATCTCTTGTATTATTAGGTTTTGTTGATGGGATGTTCTGAATGCTTCTTCCTAAAGGTGCGACTGCATTTGACACATCAATACCAGGTCATTTGGTGTCTTATCCAATGTCCACCAAGACATTTGGAAGTCCTTTTGATTAGTTCTTTTAATTTCAACCTAATCCCATGCTGTTTGTAAAGTATGGCAATGATCTCAATAGCTCTACTTGCATATATGTATATATACATGTACATGTACATGTATATGTATATGCATATGTATGCATATGCATATGTATATTTCTATCTATTTTTTCTTAGAAATTATCCTTGTGTTTTGTGTTTTCACCCCTTGTGTGTAGAGAATTTTCATATCTATCAATATTATCTGCAGACCTGAATGAGAATGGGAGCGTAGACATCACTTAGCCTCCATTCTTTATGCATCAGAAAAAACTGCTAACATTATTTTTTGTTTATTTCAGGTTTCTTTTCTCCATGGAAAACTCCAAAGCCTGTAAGTTCCCTTTCAAAACTGTACACGTTGAGTTGATAAGATGACTGTCATGCAAGGCAAATTTCTGTAGATTTTCATCTACCCATCGTGTTCCCAGCTCATGAGACACCTCTCAGCAGAGCCCCAGCTCCAAGGGGCACAGCACCAGGGGTGGCCTCCCTGATAAGCTCTGAAGGTCTGTTGACTTGGAGTCTGCCAGAAGTGGTTTGGAAAAAGGAAAACCTTGATGTTAAGATGGGTGGCAAGCGCCAGCAATGTAGTGGCTTAAAAATGAGAGGTCTGGAGGAGAAGGCAGCAGAAATTAAGTCAGTCTTCTACTTGGCAAATTCTTTGAAATGAACAACATACAATTTTTCTGGGTTACAAGTGGCTTGAGTTTAATACCCTCAAAGAGATTTTTATTCCTTCTTGCATTAGGAGATCTAGAGCTGCAAATAGTCACACTTCAAATAAGAGCATGGGCTAGATTACTGACTGAGGTGCCTTTTAATCAACTTTTCTGTGTTTCTGTGATTGTGATAGTAAAACCCAAAGTGTAAAGACTTTTCCTACTGTAAAACTATAAGCAATGACTATATTTATTCTGTTGACAACACACTATATATTTTTTTAATTTGTGACAACATTCACAGTATAAAAAGAATTCGTAGGCTACTATTTTTGGATGTCTGGTTTGTTTTATTGTTTTAGGGACTTGTTTGGTTTTTGATTTTTGTTTTTTTTTTTTTTAATTTGGCTTTTTTATTGATATTTTATGGACCTTAGAGCAATTCTTAATTCTCATCAAGGGTGTGTAGAGGAAAATAGATCGTGAAAACTTCTAAGAGCAATAGGAATAACAATAGCAATACCTTTCAAAGGACTTAGAGCCTCCTTATTAGAGAGCAGGCAGGGGAAGTACATTAAATCTGAACAACTTTGCATACTCTCTTATTGGAGCATGGCATGTGTAAATTTTGCCAAAAGGACTTTTGTACCCTGTCAAGTACAAATAGCAATTAATCAGCTGGTGCAATTTATGAGACTGCTTCAGTTTATGGTGATTTTCCTGTAAAAGGATAGCGTCTGTATACAATATATTGGAATAAGTATTACATAAGTTTCATTGTTGATCTATGCAGCAGGACATTTGTGAAAATAAATCAGATTATTAAAGGCTGGCTTGCTCCCTCTAGTTTAAGACTCTTGAATGGCTGGGGTGTTCAGCCTTTAATCTCAGATAAAAAGTGAGGATAAAGATAGCTTGGAGCTCACTTGTTAAAGATCCACATTTGAAGACCTCCTCCTGTCCATACTCAGCCTTTTCATTTACACATCAAATATATAAATATCAGTGTATTTATTGTTGACAATTTTCTGCAACATTTTGTTATATAAACAATATGGTAGTTCATGCTCCAGTAGCACTTCCCAATAATCAGAATCTAGAAAAACAACCTGAATTGATGCAGTTTTTCATGCAATGGTGTAAGGAAACCAGGGCTCACCGAATAATATAACACCATTGTGTGCTGTACCTGCAGGCAGGCTGACAGCTCACAGCAACCCCATTTTGGGGTAATCTCAGCAAGAGATTTCACAAATTATTAACTGAGTTAAGGTAGTGTGAATTCCTCTGTCTGTCACCACTTTTAACTAGAGAAATAGTCAGACATAAATTTCTTGTATCCAAGGCCTGAGGATAAGGTTGAAACCAAGTGCTGCAGCACTGTCTGCAGCCAGTGTGAAGCAGTAAGGCCAGCACAGGAGGTTTAGAAAGCCTCCCCAACACCTCAGCACAGCCTGTATCTGTGTAACAGCACAGGAAAGCAAAGTAACCTGGGGTAACAGATATTTCCAGTGGTTCCTATGTATATAGTGCATATATTATACATGTATATCATGTATAATATTAGTACAAAATTACCATGAGCAATGTCACCAAACCATTGCCCCAATTTGGATTTGATACCCTGCACTCACTAATGTGCTTACTCACTTTCACTTACCTTCTTTTCTGTAGTAGCATTATGATAACTTCCATTACTGAACACTAGGTGACTGTTTAATTAGTTGGTATGGGTTTGGGAGATATAATTCCCCTTCTGTTTATCTGCTTATTTAGCTGGTTGAACTTCACACTTGAAGATTTAGAACTAACCAGCAAGCAAGAATTAGACATATGGGACCCAGTAGGGTTTTGCCAATTGATCTCCAGTTTCCTGTCCTTTCTCCAGGGTAAAGTTTGCTCATCAAAGATAATTATATTTTCCTTTCTTTTTTTAAATATTTCTTTAAGTATTTTAATTTTGTCCAGTTTCGCATTTTGAAAGAGGTAAGTGATCTATTTCCCCAGCACTTTCCAAGAAATTAGGAATCTTTCACTTCTAGACAGACATGGCCCTGCATGTCTTTCCTCTTCATAATGATAAGATAGATAGTTTGGTTTCACTGGCTTGTGTTCTTCTTTTAGATCCTATGGGAAGGGGAAGTCTAAACATATTTTTCTGGTAATTTCCTTATCATAAGGAGCTTGAATTGAGCTTAGTTCTTCTTTCCTGTTTAGACATAGGGGTCATAATCAGGTATGTTTCTAGAGACCTTTGAATTTGCACTTCCATAATGCAATTATGTACTGTATATGTGTTTATAGCTACTGGAGGTAATTTCTTTTGGGCTGTCAGAAGTAGTACTGTGCTATTCATGTGACTTACCTCACAGGCTAATTTACCCAAAGAGCAATTATTTGCAGAGGATAAATTTATCTTGGTGTAAGGGGTACCTGACAGTACCCAAGGTACATTCCTGTACCTAAGCTGTTTCAATGGCAGCTCAGGCATTTCTGTGTGCCACTGTATTGCACAGAATGCACATACTTACAGTTTTGAATGAACCAGCCCTACTTACTGCTGAAATTCTGACAGAAACACAGCTTGAATCATAATAATACTTTGTAAAAGAATGAGGTCCTCGACAACTGAAGTGGCCAATATCTATAATCTGCTTGTTCTTAAGTGTGAGCCTAAGAAGGTCAGATCACCTGGGAGATGCATCAGGATGGTTATTCAACATATTCACCAGGAGGACACTAAAACATCCATAGTCCACACATAGTTGGTGTGAAAAAAGCCTGATGCAATTAATCACCAGAAGAGAGAGTGAAGCCTGCCTGCTGACCCTAAACACCTTCTGAAACCAAGGAACTAAAGACAAACTATAGTCACAGAATTTGTAGAGCAAGCTCACTGTAAACCTGCAATCATCTTTGATAAAGATTGGCTGATAAAACAATAGAAGTCAGTGGAATTTAATTACAGATCAGTTTGTTGCCAAGAGGCATTTTTGTGTAATCACCATGGTTGGGTTATGTGTGAGAACACACTGTTCTGGAGGCTTTACCACCCTTGTCCTCAGGAGGGGTTATAGAAATAGCCAAGTACTCATTTCCTGGGATAAACATTTGTGTTTTGTTTAATTCAGTCTCTTCAAAGAAATTTGCTAATGCAATTTGATTAGTAGCCAGCTTCTTAAAAAAAAAAAAAAAAAAAAGGCAGATCCTCAAGCCTTCTTTTGGACAGCCTATCATATCTTTAAGCTTGATGTACGTGTAAGACTGCTAAAGACAGGCTTGAAAAAAGCGTGAACTGAGGTGTCTTTCATGCATAGACAATAGGCTGCTGTAGGCTTCTTTCCTGTAAATGGCCTGGAAGAGTTGAAAGCCTTATCCTGTGCTTGGAAACTTGATTGTATAATGCCAATTTAGTGGGTTTTTTTGAACACTAGATGCTTGAATATGTGCTGTAAGAATTTTCTCTTCCGTTTTGATTTGTTTTGATTTTCTTTTGGTTTTGATTTTGGTTTTTTAAACCTTCAGTTGGAGGTGTAAATTCTGCTCCCAGTTACAGTTATCTGCTTCTCCCTGGGCAGCTAGTTATTTTCATGTATTCTCAGAAGATACAGCATTAAGGTCATTCACTTGCTACACAGTCCGTCTCTTCTTTGTGAAGCACTACCTTCATGTATATTATGTATTTTGATGAATCTGATAATTTTGTTTTTACACACCCACAGATTCCACCTTTAGCAAATCATTTCCAGTAGCTCAGCACATTCTGTGAGAGGCACTCCATATGCTTCAGAGGTAATGCTGGGCCTAATCTAACCTGAGAAAGGTCTCGTTTTGCCCTGAGCAGCAAATTAAGAAGTGCATTTTTAGGCAAGTCATTTTATAAACAGCACAACACACATCTTTTATTTTAAAAGGCAGTAAATATTTACTAATTTTACAAAGCACATCGTCAACAGAAATCACTGTCTTTGGTCTCATCGTGGAAGCCACAGTACTTGCAAAACTTCATTTTTATTCTCTGCATGTTTTCATTCCAGATGATGGAACGATGGGAGAATCAAGGCAGCCCTCAAACAAGTGTGTCTGCTCCAGCTATGCCACAGAATATTCCCTATCCACCCACTCTTCACAGGAGTTCATTTCCTGATTCAACAGAGGCCTTTGATCCAAGAAAACCGGACCCCTATGAGCTGTATGAGAAATCAAGAGCTATTTATGAAAGTAGGCGTAAGTGAAAGCTCTCTTGACCCTGCTGACCATTTAGTATTTAAAATTTTGCCTATGAATGTGTCACTGTTGGCATAATTTTCTGCAATTATCTTTTGTAATTTATAGAAAGAAACTACATTCCTTTCCAGTAAATAGAGGCCATTATAAATGTTTCCAAAATTATACACTTACATATTTTCTTACATCTTGCCTAGATTCTCATATTTGACTTTCATAGGTGGTTTTTTCCTTGTATTTTTGATCACCCCATTTTGACTGTTAAATCCTTGGTATAGCGCAGTATACGTACCACCACATTTTACTTTCTTTTCTTCATAGTCAACCAATAGAAAGATGTGAATTTATCAATGAAAAAAAGAGTTTCACCTACTTTCACTTCAAAGTGACGTTTGTTAAAGAAATTTCAAATGTATTTGTTTTTACAAAAATGTCTTTGACAAGTTTTCACATTGTCCTTGGTTAGAAAGCAACCCATACCATAAAGTACTATTTGAAGACCTATACAAAACAGTACTGAGCTATCAAGATGCTCATCTTGATTTAATTTCTCATGTTTTTGGAAATACATCCCATATTTTTTCCAATAATAAAAGGGCTTAGATTTATTTACTCCTTTTGTAAAGAACATTTTAGCTAAAAATATTGCTCTCAATTTTCTGCAGCCTTTGCACTTATTAAGATAAATTCTTAAAAATAGTTTACCGTTTTACTGAAAGCTTCTTCACCACTGCCACTACTTGCACATTCCACCTTTCAATTCATTTTGTAAAATACTTGAGCCTGTAGATCAAAATATGCTATAAATTACACATAAAATATTGGAGCTGATTTAGAGCAGCCCATTAATATTAGTTGGCCTAGAGACCTAGAATATTCACATTTCTTCAGCATGCAAAGGGTTAGTCTGAAGGAAATACATTATTGTCCCCAGCACTGGGTTCATACCATTCTTACTTGCCTGTACCTATACATTAGTTACAGCATCAGCATCTCCTCTTTGGCTTTGGTATTCCCAGTCCCCTCAAGAATGGATATGCTGGAGGAATACCAGAATTTGTTTTACATCAACTCCAAGTAAACCCTGATCCAGTTTGGAAGCTGCATTTCATATTCCTCAGTTCTTTGCCACTGTGGCCAGTGCCACCATCTTCTGTCAGAAAACTCACAAACTCACTCTCCATAATCCAGACTTTTTTTTTTTGTGGGAGATAGTTGTTGAGTTTTCTATTTATTTAACAAGTACCTGAAATTAAGATCCCAAATTTGACTCTATTTACTTAAATAAATTGCTGGCTTTTTTGAGGAATACCAAGTATCTTACTCACCCTAAATATGAATTTGAGAACTTACTGAGACCCCTGTAAAAAAAGTATTTGATCTTCAATTATAAACTGTTAGGCATAGAAACTAAACTTTCCAGTATATTTACAAACAGCATGTAGTCCATGTTGGCTGGTATTCCCAACACAATGTACAAAAAGAGACTATAATTTTTGAAATTTAAAACTCATTGAAATATGGATCAGGATACAGTGTGGAGTAGGCCAAATAAGTTTGAAAGAAATAGTACTAGTTTTGAGTAAAGATAGCAAATAGTTTTCAGACATCTCCCCTCTTTCACTTTCTCTTGTGCATTAAGGGCTAGACTAATACATAGATAAAAACATTTGCTTGAACTGAAATGTTATTCTCCAAAGTGATAGAATTTGGAAAATGATAAATTAAAAGGAAAAGAATCCGTTCCATAGTTAGAAAGAATTTTATCAAGTTCAGCACCTCTATGGAAAAAACTCTTGGCTTTGTATAGAGCTCTAACAAACAGAAAGCCCTTTGCAAATAATCATTTCCCATATCGACAGCTTTTAGTAGTTTAACAAAAATCTTTCCACTCAACAGTCAGAACCATCTTCAGTAGTTAAAGTCATCAGGCCAAGAGTGCAGACTTCCTGCATTGAAACAAATATCTCTCTGAGACAATTAAGAAAATATTATAAATGCCATATAGATATATGACCTACATATTTATATGGCATTTTCTTATATCCTGATCCCTGATGTAGACTGGATCCATATGTGCCTTTCATAAAACTGTGGGAATATAGATCTAACATCAACTACAAAGATACACTTAACCCCAAAAGGTTATATACTGCATTACAAGATATATTACACCATTCAATATTCATGGGTGCTTTCTTCAAGTTTTCTGAGCACTTCTTTGACCAACATGAACTCCATTTTAAGGTATATGATCTATTGTGTTAAGGAGTATATGCTTTACCACAGGAAGAGTGTCTAACACGTGGGTTGGAGTTATGCTAAAGCCTGGTTTCAATAATATAATTTCCTTTTAGTTCTGTCCAAAAGGCAACTGGAGACTGTATATGAGATGTTTTCAACCAGCTGCCTGGAAAAACGAAGAATTAAAAATTGTAAAGCTGCTAGGCCCAAAACAAGAAAGTGAGGGATGAAAAGCAAGACTACAGTAACTTTATCCTAGATTTCTAGCAGTGTCCCATCTTCCAGTTAATCTGGGAAACTTTAATGTTTTATCTTCTTTCACCACTATCTCCTCAACATTTTCTCTAAGATTTGATTCCACAGTTCCCAACTAGATCTTGTCTACATTCATTCATATCCCTTATTTATAAATAGCTGCCTCCAAAGATTTCTATTCTCCCTGACATTTTTGTTTCATGAATGCCATAAGCACACATTGTCAAGCCTTAGCACCATGTAGTTGTCCTGTTTCCTGAAGATGGAAACAACAGGAAGGAAATCCATTATTGAGTCAAGTAATTGTAATCTAAATTGAGTATATAGGAGGGAGAGTTTCTAGACAACACTCTTTCCTACCATATGGCAATGTCAGGTTGGTTATCTTTGTGAAGAACATACCCTAAAAGTGCACAGGAAAAGTTCAGCTACTTGGTGTTTTGAAGTGCTTCTTATCTCAAAGCAAGTTTGTCTTATCTCCTGGCAAGACCTTCTTTTCATCTTCTAAAAGTAGGGCAGAGAAGTGAACACTCATGACCCGGAAAATTCAAAAAAGAAAGAGATAGTGCAAAATTTTTGTTTCTTTCACTGTGAGACTCTGTTACTAAACAGTTCATTTTTGTACCTCTATAGCTCTGAATTTCTACAGAGCCTTTTCCCCAAAGTCAGCACTCACCAGGACCTCATAAAAGCTCCTGCTTGCCATTTAGAGAGGGAGTGAAGCAAGTTATGAAAAACAGGGTAGTTCTGTGGGGAGCACAAGCAACATGGCAAGAAGCAGAGCAAGAGCTAGACCATTGTGTTGCCTGTAGCTCATCCCTACCTAATGATGGCAAGAACAGGGGGGTTCAAACAGGAAGCCTCAATGAAAAAGGATTATTTTCATTCTTCAGGAATGTTTTTCCACCTAAAGAACATGAAGAACCTGCAAGACCCTGTGTGATGGGAAGATTTCAGTTTGTAATGATTACATATGAATTACAAAGCACTACCACTTCTGCATGGGAAATAGTTTCATAGAGGCAATCAACGATGCATTAGTACAAAAACAGAGTGCAACTCTATTTTGGAAGTATAGTATTTTTGAAAATTATTTTTTCTTGAGTTAGTTGTTACCTGTCAGCTCTTCCCTCTTCGCTGTCACCAGCCTCTGCTGTCACCTATGCTCAAAGCTCCAAGCAGATATAAAAGGAGAATGAGGGGTTTCCAAATACTGAGGAGGACTACCACATCACCTAAAACAACTGCTTAAAAGCACAAGATGGGAAATTGGTTGATGTTTTCTTTCTTTACTGTGTCACTCTGGGTTTGGGGATTTTTTTGCTTATTGTTTTGGGTTTTGGGGTTGGTTTTTTTTTTGTACCCACTTCCCCCTTCTCTTCTTATTTCTTCTCCATGATCAAGAATACCTGCCTGACTTTCTGGTGTGACATAATTTTCTCAGCTGGATACTTTTTCCTTTTTTCTGTCCTACTATTAATTCAAAGCAAAAGCTTTAACTCATTTCTCCTTACGAAAATTGTTAGATTATAAGTGACAGTGTGACTCTCCTGATAACTAGGTTAGGTACAGAAGGTAGAAAATGGAACATCAGATCAAGAATTTCCTATTAATGAAAAAATTATGACTTCATATGCAGGAGATTGTTACAGCTGTAATTGGAGCCCTAGAGTTATCATTAGGAGAACTCATTCACCTGGATTTTAAATTTTTCTATCATAAATTCTCCTTATCCTATCTTATATTTTATGAGCTCTGTTTATTGTAGATTCACAGTTTATAAAAAACTTTGTTCAGATACCCCTGTAGGCAGACATTAATCAACCAGGAGTCACAAAGCTGTTGAGAATCATAATCCCATAATATTTCTCCAGTTATAACAGAAATTTGAGGTTATATTCTCTAAGGAAAGAGGTAAAATAAAACATTTTTTATATTTATTGGGTTAAATACATCCTTCAGTTAGTGTGGTAGCCAAGACTGGTGATGTGACACAGAAATGCCAGTAGGAAGAATGAGATAAGCCAGTGATAAGCTCTCATTAAAAGTGAAATATAAACAATTACAGTTCCACCTTTAGCTGGAAGGACAAAGGTTACTTTCTTTAAAATCTCCAATATTATTTCTTCCTCTGACCACAGTATTTTGAATTTCTCAAGTCCCTTTCAGCTGTTTTATGAATTTATTTTTTTTTGCTGCCAGATATTTTTAAAAATTGGAAAAGAACCAAAAAGCAAAGTTCACCAACACCTGAAAGATGTAAATATGTAATATGAAATATGTAAATAGAAAATGTATTTGCATAATTAGCCTCCACGAAATAGGGTGTATTCTTAGGCAGACTTATAAATACCTTTCTGTAAGGGTCACAGACGAGCACTTCATATTCACGGGCTACCTTTCCTCTGGAGCATCACTCCAGGTTTTCAGCACAAATATGCAGAAAAGTAGGAAAGATTTGTCAGACACCATTTTATTGATTCATAATGTGTGACTACAAA